AGTACAATTTTATCATATGTTTTGCAAATTCATTTCCCTAATTGTAGTAATATTTTAAACCGTTTGATTTTTGTATTAAAGTTTTTTTAATTGATTGATGATTGATTCAATCAACTAATTTGTTGATTGTATTAACTTGATTCTTTAGATATTGAAAATTAAATAAATAACATTATGTTAATTTAAGCGTACAGAAACGTTGCTGTTGTTCCAGCAAAAATCTTATTTTCACTTTACCGAGTGCCTAGTAGGTAATTTGCAGATTACCTAGATAATCTGCACATTACCTTGGTAATTTGAGAAAAAGAACAATTTTAGCAACTTTAACGGATCGCCCTAGTTAATCTGCAGATTAGCTAGGTAATGTACACATTAACGACTTTCGAGCTTTAGCGGTAACATATATATAAACTGGGATATCTTCACGTCTATTATTTACGCAAATTATTCCAACTAGAAAGAACTATTCCAGGCTATGCTCTACGGCACGAAGTAAATCGGATTTGGTTCTTCCCTTTCGTATTGAAACGCATAATAAAATTTTATTACAGAATTAAATTTAAAAAACGATAACACTATAATATATCTACATCAACAAAATATTAATCAAAGTAAAAATCGGAAATTTAAACAACTATGGCGAAACAAGCTAAATCAAATTCTAAATACTTTTGGCGCATCGGAGTTATTATTTAAAGATAATATTAATGATTGGAAATTCGGCCTTTCACTTTTAATGAACTCTGCAATTTCGCAAGCAATAAACAAAGATCAAAATTCATTATATCAAAGTATTTATCATCCATGGTATATCGATTTATTACAAATTCCGCCCTTACAATCTTATATGTCACAGCCAGTTAGTCTAAATGTTAAGCGATTAATAATTCAACTCTGTTTAAATAAATATTCTTTTGTTATTAATAATATTTATATTGACCTAACAAGATCCTATTGCCCTTTATGTAATTCTGAAGAATTCTCACGATATCATCTAATTCATAATTGTCAAGAACTATCTAGACTGCGCGACTATTATAAAATATCTAAAATATGTAATTCTAATTCACCACTCGACTTCAAACTAAGTTTAAGTAATCTCAGCAAAACGAACTTATACAAAATTTATAATTATTTTGTTAAAATATCTGTAAAATACCATTCGGCAAATCAAAACTAATGTTCGTTTTTGTATTCGTTGCCTTGTTAATATAGATGGATTATTATGTATGTAATCACAAATCGATGTCTATGGTAATTATGACTTATTTTTGTATCTTTGTACCCTAAATTTGCTAAATTGTAATCGTTTTTAATCATTTGTACTATTCCCCCGTAACAGAGAAATTGTTCTCTATTTGTTAATACCGATTTGTATTGCATTATATTGTAATACAGTAGAGCGTCGTTCATCCGAATCAATTGGGGTTGTTCGGATAACCGATTATGTGCAAAAAATACATTAACCTAACCCATGTTGAAATTTTTCTCTGCTGCGTATCGCTTCGCGTTGGATTTTCGTCGATGTTAAACCTAATGTAAACTTTTTAAAATAATAATCGTGGCTATTGTATCGTTAAAAATTATTTCTTTATTTTTTACAAACAAAATAAATATATTGAAAAATATAAAAACAAAAAAAAATTATACTTTAGAAGTTAAAGTTTAAATATAAACTATTTTATACATTTGTGTTTTCCCGTTTACACTAATAAAATTTAAGTTTCTGATACATCTAAAAATTAAACTTATAGGTAATATTCA